TAACAGGTACTGGCAAGAAGCCTTGAGTCAAGTGGAGTTCTGTGAGAGAGTTGTCTAAGAATAGGGCAGGTCACCTTTCTAGAAGCGGCCAGGCCCTATAAAGACATACAACTATTATGTACTCATAATAATTAAAAAATTTAAAAAGAAAATGAATTTTATAAAAAAAAAAAAAAAGAAGAAAAAGATACTTTGTGCCTCTAAACCACTATTGATAGATCGTCTCCGCGCCTCAGAGCGTGACGACCCTGCACAGGAAAAAGCTAGGCGACATCCCCAAATCGTCCCCTTCATGCGACAACCTGAAGGCTCTGATTCCACATTTAGAGGGTTCTTGGTATCAGCAAAACGCAAACGTCCGGCACAGGCGGATTTGCCATGGAGCCAATAAAGTTCTAATCTCTGGGCCTGGCCTTGAACTGGTTTGCTTGTTTGAACAGTTGCATGGAGGTATAACTGACATGCAATAAACTGCAGGTTTAACTGTGCAATTTGCTAAATTCTGACTGACGTCTACACCCGTAAAGCCACCACCACCAGCAGGAGAAGGCGGCTGTCCAGCCCCTGGGGAAGCCCCGCCGGGCCCACGGATCTGCCCGGCCGGCCAGGGTTCAGTAACTGGAATCGCTCGGCGCGCAGTTGCGCGTAGGGACAGCTCCTTCCTGGGCCCGCTCAGTAATAGTCCGTCGTGTGGCTGGACCACAGCTGGCCCCTGTTGTAATCGGGAATTCCTGATTTTGACTTCTGAAAGTGAAAACTCGAAAATTACACACGCTCAGGCCCTTCAATCACCCGGATCCTCTCGCGGGCACAGCTAAGCCACACGGCGCGAGGCGGGCCGGGACGGGCCGGGAAAGCTTTCGCGGAGCGCGCGGTTGGGGCGCGGCTGGTCCTCGAGTCCATAACGTTAAAAAGAAAACAAAAGCCCTGCCTGGACGGTGGAAGTCAAGCATGCCCCACCCCCACCCCCACCTGCGCCGCCAACTCCGCGCGCGGCGACGCTCGGCCGGCCGGTCCTCCTGGGCCGGAAGTCTGGACGTGGGGCCGGAAGTTATAGGAGGGGGGGCACCGACGTCTGCGGACGGGCGGACGGCTGTTGGGGCCGTTGAGGCGGCTGTGGGTCTGCGCCCCGGGTTCCGGATGGAGGCGGGGCCTGGTCCCGGACCCAGGGTCTGCTGCAAGCCTGGCGGACGGCTGGACATGAACCACGGTTTCGTGCACCATATCCGACGGAACCAGATCGCCCGGTACCGCCCCGCCCTGCGCCGCCGCCGCCACCCCTGGCCTGGCCTGGCCTGGCCTGGCCGTCCCTGACTCCCGCTCGGCTCCCCGCAGGGACAACTACGACAAGAAGGTGAAGCAGGCGGCCAAGGAGAAGGTGAGGAGACGGCACACGCCCGCGCCGACGCGGCCCCGTAAGCCAGACATGCAAGTGTACCTGCCGCGACACCGAGGTGAGGCCGCCCGCCCCGCCTGCCTCAAGCCCGCGCGCTCCTCCTGCAACGCACTCCCCTTCTCTGTAGGGAAAAAACTATTTCTTATCCCCGAGGCTCAGCTCACTTCGTCTGTTCCCGGAACCTCCACTTCAGCGCTCCCAAATCTCCGCTCAGTGTTTCTCCTGGAAGGGCTCATGTCCCTCAGTTAGTTATCACTAGCGTACCTGGGAGCTGGCAAGAAGTAGCCGGTTTGCCCCGCTGCACTGTATTGTAGTGTGGCGCTTCGCTACCTAGTAAAGAAAAAGTGGCACAGCTGTAAGCAACCAGGACATAATCATGGAGTGAATCTAGTAATGGCCTTTTCCCCAGCTTCCCTGCGACTTAGACATCACAGTGGTTAACATATGACAGTAATTTTCTTAAACATTATTTAAAGTGCTTTTAGACCTTTCATGTATTAATTCATTGAGTATTTATAGAACCTCATAGGATTAGAACTTTTATTTCCATTTCACAGTCAGGAAACAGGCACTGAGAGGTTAAATAATTTGCCCAAGTTTTCAGAGCTAGTAAATGGCAGAGCCTGGATTTGAACCTAGGCAGAGTTGTATGGGTCCTTCCACTACCTTCCTGTCCTACTTGCAAGACAAATGTGTATTGTGTACCTGCTTCATGACTGGACTGTGCTAGCCCCAGAGCAGGGATACAAGGTAAATAAAACTTCTGATTGGCAGCACACCACACACACACTGGACCCATGAGAAGATTAGGACTTCCTTTGCAGTATGTTTTCCTGCATCGTCTCTATGGGCGGGGGCTTCAGCAGCATCCCCCTCTTTCCTTTCACTGTGGTTCATCCTTCCAGATGGCTCTACCCACCCAAGCAACCCAGACTATGAAGAGTCCGCTGAAAGCAGCAGTAGTGGTGGCTCCGAGCTGGAGCCTTCTAGCCATCAGCTCTTCTGCTTAGAATATGAGGCGGACAGTGGAGAGGTCACATCAGTTATCGTGTATCAGGTACGCCTCAGGGAAACAGCTGCAGTCTGAAGGTCCTGTGGTAGAAATCACTGCCAGACCCTGAGCCACTGTTTTCCTCAGGGCCACTGGGAAGTGTCTGCTCCACATGGGGGCACAGGACTGCTAGGCAATGCTTTTGAGCACAAGTCTGTCCCATCACAAAGTGATTCTCAGTGGGGGAACTGGGAGGGCTCTTGGCCTCCAGTTGAGAATCACTATTACAGGGGACACCTGGGAAATAACAGGTACTGGCAAGAAGCCTTGAGTCAAGTGGAGTTCTGTGAGAGAGTTGTCTAAGAATAGGGCAGGTCACCTTTCTAGAAGCGGCCAGGCCTGAGCTTCCTGACTCTTCCTCCATGTAGGACGATGACCCAGGAAGGGTGAGTGAGGAGGTGTCAGCACACACGCCTCTGGATCCACCCATGCGAGAGGCCCTCAAGTTGCGTATCCAGGAGGAGATTGCAAAGCGCCAGAGCCAACACTGACCAGATTGAAGGCATTCTCTCCAGGCTGGATTCACTGCACTTAGAAGAATTCTGCACAGGGAGCTCACCCCTAGTCTGGGGGTGCCAGGACCAGTTTGTTTGATCTTGAGAGCCCCTGCTGCATCCACAAGGGTGTTGCAGGACTACACCTGGCCCACCTTGCAGCCATTCTTTCTTATATGTTGGCTCATTGGCCCAGCCTAATATTCTGGAATTTTTTGAGAATTTTGTTTGGCTAACTTGGTGATCTGGGAACAGAGACTCCAGGGAGAGCCCGGGTTTCTGAAACTTCATGCCAACATGGTGCTTTGTCGCTGAGGGCATATACCTGGCCGCTGCTGTTCCACCCAGCTGCTTGAGCCATTTTTGTTATTTTATGGTTCTTTTCGTTTGTGCTTCTGCTCATCTCCACCCATGTTTTCCTAGACCTTTTTTTCTGCTCTTTTTCTTTGTTCTTTCCTTTCCCTCATCTTTTTGTCTCGGGTAGAATCCATCTGTTCTCTACCCTTCCCCCCTCAACATGACTATGTACCTCCAGCTGCTCAGGACCTTGGAGGTGGGGGGGCTCTGGGGATTTACTTTTCTAACAAGCTTTCCAAGTAATTCTGATACCAATAAAATGGGAGATCTTTTTTTTCAAGGCCTACTTGAAAGCATGTTTCCCTCCCCTTCCATGGCTTTTTCAAGTTCTTTTCAAGTTTCTTGCATGCTCCACTGCTTTGCACCATCCAGACAGGAGAATTAGGCAGATGTCAGAGCTAAACTACAAGGATTTCTTTTTCTTTTTTTTAAGAGACAGGGTCTCGCTATGTTGCCCAGGCTAGATGCATCTGGCCTCAAGTGATCCTCCTCCAGACTTCCAGCTAGCTAGGACTTTAAACTGCAAGGATTTCTCACAGCCAAAACCTACCTTGGCTAGGGCTACAGAATTCCACCTTTGGACCTCATCTCTAGCTGTGAACAGAGTGTTCTTTGCTCAAACTAAAGGGGAATTATCAAAACAAGCTTGGAACTAACTCCAGTTGTGAGGTAACAGTGTTAAACATCCACCCAAAGGGAAATTCAACATTAGCAATAATTGCCTAATTGGAGCCCTAGCTGCAAAAAAACAAAAGTCCTGAACAACACTCCAGAGGGAATGAAAAGAGCCCCTCTCATTCTGCCCCCTCCCCTGCCCCATGCTTCTTTCCTACCTCTCAAAAGTATATAACTCAGCTCCTGAGATTAAAGACCCCCAGGAATACCACTGCTCTCACTCAGTGAATATTTTTTCTAATGCAGGGTTAGCCTAAGTTCTGGAGACCAAAGACATCTGTGTACCAATGTTCTGAGGCACTTCAGTTTTCCCACAAATCACCCTGGCCTCGGTGACTTGAAATGTGGGGTTTAAGTAAGCCTTTGAGCACTGAGATCTCCTAAAACCAAAGCCCCTGCCCTAGAGGTTTCTCCTCATCGGGGTCTCAAGACACCTGAGGGCACTGTTGATTTGTGCCTTACACCCCTAAAAATCTACCCCCTCAGAAATGGGGCAAGGCAGCTACTTCAACTATGCCATTAAAACAATGAGCCACAGCTCTCAGTGCCAGGGGGATGCTTTGATGCTGAGTGAGGTGGGTAAGTTTGAAGGGCCTGGTTGCGAGGGCATCCAGGGACTCACAGCGTTGGCCTGGGGTTAAGTGCCTTAAACTTGCCAGTGCTGGGCTCATTTCTTTAAAAGGAGAGTCTTTGCCCTCTACCTACAAAACTGGACTACAAGTGCCTTTTGACTTCTAATGGTAACTAGCCCCTAAAGCTTCCTGGGCCAAGGAGGCTCTGCCAAACTACCCCCTCGTCCCCTGCTTCTCCCTGCAGGTCAGAGGACCAGTCAGCCTTTCTAGTCTTCCAGCTCTTCAGCTGGTCTTAGAACTTGGAACATAGGATTTCACTGGAAGTCTTTGGCTTCTTAGTCTAAAAATACTTTTTGGGTCTGTCTTCTCACAGCTGGATCACCTATTTCCTGTTTTTGTTGTTTTTGTGGAGATAGTCTCACTCTGTTGCCCTGAGTAGAGTGCAGTAGCATCATTGTAGCTCACAGCAACCTCCAACTCCTGGGCTTAAGCAATCCTGCTGCCTCAGCCTCCCAAGTAGCTGGGACTACAGGCACGCGCCACAATGCCCAGCTAATTTTTCTATTTTTGGTAGAGATGGGGGTCTCACTCTTGCTCAGGTTAGTTTCAAACTCCTGACCTCAAGTGATCGTCCCACCTTGGCCTCCCAGAGTGCTAGGATTACAGGCATGAGCCACCATGCCGGCCCTATTTCCTGGTTTTATCATACAGTTTAGAAGACAAGAAGAGGAATTTGGGGCATGACACCTGAAATTTTAGCCTCAATTCCTGTTTCCTGGGAGGGGAAGAGGTAAAAGGAAGGCAGCATTTAGTATGTACCTATTGTTTCCTGTTAGTTGTGTGTTTTATAATCCTCACAAAGACCTTCTGAGGTAGGAGACTGATGGAAACTCCTTGCTTTTAAACTTTTTTTTTCCTTGAAGACCTTTGCTTATCTAGTGTACATAAAATGTTTTTTGCTGGGCGTGGTGGCTCAGGGCTCACGCCTATAGTGCTGGCACTTTAGGAGGCCAAGGCGGGAGGATTGCTTGAGCCCAGGAGTTTGATTCCAGCCTGGGCAATATAGCAAGACCCCATCTCTAAAAAAAAAAAAAAAAATTAGCCTGGCGCGGTGGTGCACACCTGTAGCCCCAACTACTCAGGGGGCAGAGGCAGAAGGATCACTCGAGCCCAGGAGTTTGAGGTTGCATTGAGCTATGGCTGGGCAACTGCACTCCAGCCTGGGCAACAGAGCTAGACCCTGTCTCAAAAAAAAAATTTTTTCCCCACACAAGAAAACATTCTAATTCTTAGCCAACCTATGCATAACTAATCTATGCAATATGACTGTAGAAAGCACTAAACCTTGTACTTCTGTTAAGAGGTGGTCTTCAGAGCTGGCCTATTGGAGATGATGCTGCCATTTCTCCAGGCATGCCTGAAGTGCTTCTGTGAGGATGGCTCTCAGCCAGTTAACAGCTGTATAGCTCAGCCTCATTGCTTATTACCACCCCTTTGGGGTCCAAGGTGATACTATCCAGTTTATTCACCAGACCTGTCTACCAGCATCTTTCACCTGTTTCAAAAATGAGAGCTTTACCATCAGGGAGCATGTTCCAGAGCATTTCCCACAGATGTCCCAAAGAGGACTATCTTGTGCTATTTATTTTGTATGCAATAGCAACAGTGTTGGACTAAGTGGAACTTTGCAGCAGGCTGCTTCAGAATCAACACTCATTTGACTAGATACTTTCTTGGTTATCTTTTAGAAAGTCTGATAGCCTGATAGGTAGATGTCATGCCCATTCAGTATGGAGTGTTCTTCAGTCGCTGAGGTTAAACCTGTATTTTAAGGTTTTTGTGGTTCCTGGGCCACAAGAGGTGATGTTACTGATAGAAGGAAGCTGGGTTTGCAGGGGCTTTGGGGTGTGCAAGAGTAAACACTAAAGCTTGAGTTGTAGCCAGTTGGCAAGCATGGAAGTCTTTGAAGAATGTAACGCAGGAAAAGAAAGGAAAAGAACATAAAGCTTTTTGTACCAAATGAGAGTAGGAGCCTCTGGAGTCAGGCCAGCCAGGGGGCCCAATATGGGCAATAACATATGCTTTTCCTGTAAGACCCTCTCTGGAAGGGACATTTCCATCTCCATAGTCCACTCTGGGGGTCATTGCCAACTAGAGATTAGCCCATGCTGTGGGGCAAAGCCCTTTGGGATGGTGAGTACCCAACCTGCTGTGCATTTGACAAGATCTGCAGATGGCTGGGTAGTGGATCCTTAGCAGGCTCACAAATTTAAATGAGGCCTTTGTGTGCAGAAAGAGGAATGAGGACAGATTACCTTCCTATCTCTAGGCCTTTTGGGAGAATCACCATGGAATGTTGACAATTATTTAAAACATTTTAAGTTCCCTCTTTGAATTCTTGTCCTATCCCTGAGGAATCAGATGGCCAAGAAGCCAAAGGCACCCACCCCAAATTTCCCCAGGAGTTGGAGTGATGCTAGACATGAAAACCTGAGTAAATGGCTCAGAACCAACAGAATGAGGTTGTACCAGTTATGTTGTGGAGGTAAATGTATAAAAAGCAATACGTTCTGTTTCTTAATTTCCAATGTTTCTGCAGTGTGGATGAATAAAATGAAGTATGCAAATTATTTGAAAATCCTAGAAGAAAGGTATTTTTCAAATACGGTATTTCTTTTTAACAAAATAAACTTACTTTTACAGAGTGTTTTTGCCAAGAGTTGTGAAATCACTTGTGTACATGGGGAAGTGGAGGTTAAATGCCTGCCCTAAAGTCATTCCACCACAGAATCAGCACTGGAAATCTCATCTCTTGTTTTGCCTATTTTAAGAACTGTCCTGGTTGGAACATAACAACTAAGACTCACGTAGCATTAGAGTTGGAAGGGATTTTTAAAGACATCTGGTCCCTACTTCTTACCTGATACACAATTGCCCACTACCACCTACCCATGAAAAGCCCTTCTGTCATAGGGAGCTCTATCCTGGGGTAATTCTACTTTAGGAACTATTCAGATTGTCATATTAAGCCAAAAGCTGTCTCATGACACAGCTCTCGAGTGCTTATGCCTCGCCCCCACTTCATGTTAGAACCACCAATTTGGAACCTAAGTAGTCCCTCTCAGGCCTTCACAGTGACTGGATATGGACTCAAACCCAGCTCAGGAGGATACAGTAAGGTTGATTAAGAATCACAAAGTGGCCGGGCGCGGTGGCTCACGCCTGTAATCCTAGCACTCTGGGAGGCCGAGGCGGGTGGATCGCTCAAGGTCAGAAGTTCGAGACCAGCCTGAGCAAGAGCAAGACCCCGTCTCTACCAAAAAACAGAAAAGAAATTATCTGGACAACTAAAAAAATATATATATATAGAAAAAATTAGCCGGGCATGGTGGCGCATGCCTGTAGTCCCAGCTACTCGGGAGGCTGAGGCAGAAGGATTGCTTGAGCCCTGGAGTTTGAGGTTGCTGTGAGCTAGGCTGACGCCACGGCACTCACTCTAGCCAGGGCAACAAAGCGAGACTCTGTCTCAAAAAAAAAAAAGAATCACAAAGCTTCCAACGAGGGATTGGGCAGATGAGAACTAGGCACCTGCTCCAATGGGAACGCAGCTGAGCAGGAAGACACGGTGCCTCTGTGTGAATTAGAGACCCCCTTTGTCCTGGGGCACAGAGCATGGCCAGCAGAAGGTGGGCTGGACTTTATCCCCTACTGGTCCATTCAGCTGGGTATGCTTGTACAGGGATCACTGCACGGTCATACTTCTTGGTTCTGTTTCAACACTTGTCTTGATGTGATTTTGAAGAGCTCTCCAACAGGTTTCCTGTTTCCATTTCTACCTTCCACTGGGTCCAAAAAGATTTCTCCCTCTTCAAGCCATTGTGCAGTTTGTTCTGTTTCTCCGCAGTACAGGGTCCTGTTTTTATACATAACTTGCTTCACCAACGTTGCCGAACTTTGGCTCCTGGCAGTCTGGGCCCATGTACCATTCAGGTAGTGATCTGCCCAAGTGTCGTTCTCACAAGGGCTCCAACAGTTGCTGGGGCTGCCTTTTAGAGCATCACGCTTACCTCTGGCGTTTGGAAGGAAGTATTCCTGCCCTTTTGATGGTGAAAAGAATGTCCAGGAGTGCACTCTTAGTCTGTAAGTTTTGGTGGAGCTGGTGGCTAACTTATCCTCACACTATCCTGTTTCTTTTTCCCAGATTCTTCTGGGTCTCTCACCTTCCTGTCTTCTTGGCTTACAAACACCTAGCCGTGTTAGACCTTACCTACGCTGACACCTACATATGTCTATTTAGATGGATATCCTCTGCCGTCTTAGTTTAAGTGTTGATCATTCAGGAAACACGTCTTGGACACAGTGACTTCTGGCGAGTACACTGTGTACTTGTACACCGAAAATAAAAAGTATCTGATGAAAGCAGCCCTCCTCCAGGGTGTACTGAGCTGCGGGAAGCATAAGCCAAATCCAAGGCACTTGGATTTCTTACGGAATAGCCAAGGCTTTGTGCCCGCTTCTCTGCAGACCGACCTCACGCCTTGGACAGAGGCTGGCATGGGGTGCCCCGCTGAGCAAGCTTCTCCGAAGTCTCGCTGTTGGCCGGTCCGGCTGGAAAATGTGCGCGGCGGCGGAGGGAGGCTTCCTCCAGCCATGTGCACGATGACAATCCCAGGTAGAGGTGGAAGGCTGGCTGGCCTGGTCCTGGAGGTCCTCGCCTCCCAGCGCTTCCCCTGCGGGAACGGGGTAGACAGAACCTCTTGGCATCTCGGTGTCAGAGCTGTCCCCAGGCCACAGCCCTCGGCGCCCAGGTCCACCGAAGTTGGGACACCTCCCACCTTCCCCCGTGACGCGGGCGCGGGGGCTCGGGAGTTGTAGTCTCGGGCGGGGCGCGGGCGCCTGGGCCGGGGCTGCGCGGACTTCACGTCCCGGCGGGCGGCGCGGCGCGGCCTGGGGCCGCCAGGGGCGGGGCCGCTCGGCCCTTTAAACCTTTCAGGGCTGCTCCGAGGGCCGCAGCCGGAGACGGCGCCACGAGGGGGCTGAACAGGGAGCGGCGGCGGCAGGGCGCTCCGGGAGGTGAGTACTGGGCTCCTTCCTTTCCCCGGGGCCTCCAGGGATCATCTGGGGAGGCTCGTGTCTCGGGTCCTGGGGGGGTCGCCGGCCGCGGGCTCCTGCCCAAGCAGGGGGTCCTCCGCGCCCACGCGAGCGACGGCCGAGCCCGGCTTCCCGCTTGAACCCGCCCCCTACCCGGGGCGCCTGTGGTCAGGTGGTTGCCTGCGCGCCGCCGCTCCACCGGGCCCGCACACCTTTCCAGCCTCTCCTTGGCTTGGCCCCCTTGATTGTCCAGTCCTCCCAGCCCTGGTCCCTCAGGCGACGGAGGGTGACTCCCTCTCCAACCCGCCTGAGTCTCAGCACGCCAGTGGCACCTGGGTTGACCGCAGAGGCTCCCAATGGATGCCAGAGAGTGTCCACGTTCTAGCGGCGGCTCGGCCCAAAGTTTGGACGCTCAAAGACCCAACGGGAGCTCTGGGTGAGGTGTTGACCACCTCCCCCTCCCCCTCCTTTGGCCAGTCACCCGACCCTGCACTTTGATCTCTCTCCACAAGGCCAGGGCAGCTGATGGTTGTGGCTGAAATATCTCAAGGTAGCCGGGCCGCCCCCTCTTCCCCACCTACCTCTTGTCCTCCCCCCCACACCACCACCACCCTGGCTCCCCTCCCTCATGACCGCCTGGATCCTCCTTCCTGTCAGCCTGTCAGCATTCTCCATCACTGGCATATGGACTGTGTGAGTAAGGGGCCGGGAGCAACAGGAGCTTGATGGCACACACAAAGCCCCTTGTCCTGTCGTGGGCTCCAGGGTGGTACCCAGGGCCACTCTGGCTGTCTCCAAAGCCTGGCCTGGTGCCTGGGCACACAGCCCCTTGGGACACGCTGGCACTACTGCTGTCCAGCAGGGTGGCCCTGACAGATTTCTAGGCAGGGCAACTTCCAGAGGGCCTCTAGTTGTGGGCTGCACTGCAGGTTCTGGTGTGGCATCAAGCCTCAGGAACACCCCAACTGGAGTCCCCAGCAAGGACAATTAGGCTGAATGGGGCCAGAAATCAAGGTGGAAGAGAAAAGTCAGTGGGGGGGCTGGGCCAGGAGGGGAACGGGGGCAGAGTGACAGTTCTGCTCCCACAGGTATGCCATGGCCGTGATGAACCACCATGTGTGCCCCGTGGAGAACTGGTATGGAGCACTCTGCAGACAGCCTCAGTCTAAAGATCCCTTTATCTCTGTCCCCTCTTGGGTCCGCAGCTGCCAAGAGCCAGACAGAGAGGCTGGGCCTCATTGCTCTTCTCTGACACTGGTCCCCAGGCATGGCTTCATGCCCACTTCCCACCATCCTCTTGCCCCTTGGCCTTCTGTTTCAGGCACGCGCTGGGGAGGGGGTTCTTCTGCCCCTGCTGGGGAGGTCTGGGAGAGGGTCCTCTTTGAGGCCTGAGACTACGGGCCAAAGACCTGGGGACAGCCCCTTCTCCTAGTCCATTCCCTGTCCTGCCTGCCAGGTCCTACAACGAGTCCTGCTCTCCTGACCCTGCTGAGCAAGGGGGCCCCAAGGCCTGCTGCACCTTGGATGATGTCCCTCTCATCAGGTAAGGCCTGGACACTGGGCCGATCAGGGAGACCCAAGGCCCTCCCCGACCCCCAGACAGCCTTTCAAGCAAAAGTCTGCCCTTGGGTCTCAGGGAATAACTTACTCTAAGAGCCACTTACTACGCACTGGGCTCTGCTGAGTGCTTTATATGCATAGTCTCTTTTCATCCTCCCAGCATCGAGGTAACTATTGTCTTCACCATTTTATAGGTAAGGAAACTGAGGCTTAGGGTTGTTATTCATCTGGGGCACATAGCTAATAAGTGGAGGCACCTGGATTTAAGCTCAAGCCCTCAGATTGCCCAGCCCAAGTTCTGGCTCAAGGATAGCCAGACCAGCCACAGGCCACAGGCCTCAGCAAGGCGGCCCAGGTCTGGCAGAATACTCCTGGGCACTCCCTTCTGTCACACACAGGAGCTCTGCTTTGGGGGCTCAGCCTGGAGCCAGTTGTGCATGAGGGACACAGGCCCTTGGCATACATGGCAGCTTGGCTGCTAAGGAGCAGGCGCAGAGAATGCAGGGGAGAGCCAAAGGGCTAGAATGGGGCCCTCTGGTGCTCCTGCCCCCCTCACTCTGTCTTCGTCCCCTCCTCAGCAAGTGCGGCACATATCCCCCAGAGAGCTGCCTCTTCAGCCTGATCGGCAATGTGGGTGCTTTCATGGGTGAGTTGTACCCTTAGCTCTAACTTGCCAGCCCAGCCTCCCTCCCCAGAAAGGCCCAGAAATCCCTTGCTTCTCACAGCCCTCCCCACCAAAGGTTAAGGCAGAAGGGCAACTTCTCTCCCATTCCTTGAAGGCCAAAGACTGACTCCCACACAGCGGCCCTGCTGGCCAGAGCCTGAGGAAACCCAGTTCACCACCTGCCTGCCCCTTCCCTTCCCACCCTCAGAAGGGGCAGCAGCACCCTGACGGGCGGGGCTGGGCCTGGAAGGAGGCTGCGGGTGCTGGCCCCAGCCATGCTGTCCTCCCCCAGTGGCCCTGATCTGCCTCCTGCGCTACGGGCAGCTCCTGGAGCAGAGTCGACACTCCTGGGTTAACACGACAGCACTCATCACAGGCTGCACCAATGCTGCGGGCCTGGTGGTGGTCGGCAACTTTCAGGTGCCCCCCCCCCCTTGAACCCTGAACTTTCACCTAAGAAGGCCTGGAGAGACAGGAGGGAGGAGAGGGAAGGGAAGAAGAGACTTGATGAAGGAGGGCTGGAGGGGTGGGGCCACTTCATAGATTAGCCCCTCTCTGGGCCCAGGTGGATCATGCCAAGTCTCTGCACTACATTGGAACTGGTGTGGCCTTCTCTGCGGGGCTGCTCTTTGTCTGCCTGCACTGTGCCCTCTCCTACCATGGGGCCACTGCCCCCCTGGACCTGGCTGTGGCCTACCTGCGATGTGTGCTGGCTGTCATCGCCTTCGTCAGCCTGGTCCTCAGTATCCTTCCAGGACCAGGCAGTCAGGAAGTCAACCTCTAGCTCAGCCCCTTCCACCCAAGATGGGGGGTGGGGCCTACATTCCAGGTAACACTGCCATGTGCTCTGCTCCCTCTGGGGAGGTGAGGCCTAGTGTTGTCCCAGCTTAGTTACAGTCTGTGACTGCAGAAGGGGTGTTGCCAGGTGTCCACACATCCTACTGAACATTTCCTTAGCCTAATTTCAGGTGGCGTCTTCTTCGTCCATGAGAGTTCTGAGCTGCAGCATGGGGCAGCCCTGTGCGAGTGGGTGTTTGTCATCGATATCCTCATTTTCTATGGCACCTTTAGCTACGAGTTTGGGGCAATCTCCTCAGACACACTGGTGGCTGCACTGCAGCCTGCCCCTGGCCGGGCCTGCAAATCCTCTGGGAGCAGCAGCACCTCCACCCACCTCAACTGTGCCCCCGAGAGCATCGCCATGATCTGAGGTCTGGGGAGGGTGGCTGGCCCGGCCTCCACAGGACTCCATACCACTCTACACTATATCATCTTTGCTTTTATTTTGTACCAAAAACAATTTGAGAAAGTGTTCTATTGGGATCTGGGCTTCCTCACTCCCGGAGAAGTGGCCATCCCACGTCCACCTGTGCCATAGAGGAGCAGGACCTGCCAGCTGCCACAGCTGCACTACCTGCTTCCCCACCCCACAGTGTTGTTTTGTGTTTAAAGGTCACCTGTCCTCACTCACCCAGCCAGCCCTTCAGGTGCCTTCTACTCCCAGTGCAAGAGCCAGACCACTGGGGTTTCCTGCTGTAGGAATTGGGGGGCTGGGAACAGCAGCGGGGATGGAAGTCTGGTGAGGGGGGCAGTGAGCATGCCTTAGTCTGTATGGTAAGGCCCACTCTGGGCCCACTGAGCTGCACTGGGATTTCTTCACTCTGCCCCTCACTTCCTTTAGGGCAAATAACACAGCAGAACCACATGGGTATTTTAGTACTTTTTTTTATATCTATTAAAAGAATTCTAATTTGCATGTTTGTAGTCTGTTCTGGAGAGTTAGGGAGGGCCTGATCCAGGCCCTAAGCAAGGGTGGAAGGAAGCCCCTGACCCCTAGGAGAGTCCCAAGTGCCTGCTGCTTTTTAAGAGCAAGGCTGTGGGAAACAAAGGATGCCAAGTGCTATCCAAATATCTCTCAGGGGCTTGAAATCCTTTCTGGGCCTCTAGAGAACTGACCTGGTCTGACAGTCTCAGACCTTTCCTGACTCAGGAGTCCGGTTTGAACTTTGACTCCTTGTAGGAGATGTTGGGTGGGAGGAGATGAAGACACAGAGAACAACTTTAAAATGTTAAAAGCAATTTTTTCAATGGTGTTAAAGAAGACCCCTGGGATATCAACATCTACTAAAGATACCAAAGTTAACTAGGAATTGCAGAGGGAGGAGGATGTAGGCTAAGTTTATCAGCTTTAAGTAGCTACTGGGTGCCAGACCCTGACACATTTTTACCTTCCGACCGTGAACACACAGATCCAAGCCTTGGCTGGCCCAGTGATCTAGTTCTTTACCTGTGCCCCACTGCCCTGAGTCCAGATGGGCCAGCAGGAAGGGAAACACCACCTGATGCTTTCTCTCGTTTAGGACCACCTTCTCCCATAGCAGTAGGGACCTGGTTGAGGATGCAGAGCCCCTGCCCAGGCCTGTGAGCAATGTAGCCTTCAGGATGAGTACAGAAACCTTTAATGAGGACTCAAGGTGCAGGAGGAAGACAGAGGGCCAGCACTCGGCCCCAGCCTCCTCACGTGTACATGGCTCCATGGAGATTCTCCAGTCGGTGCTGCTGCTGCTGCTTTCGAGCCTAGAGGAAAAAGGACACACTGGGCAGGGGCCAAAGCTGAAGGCCTGTTGGTGAGGGGGTGGGAAAGCTGTCATGGGGCTGAGTCTCACTGTTTTCAGGCCTCTCGCATCTGTATTGCTGAGGCTGTTGCCCCTCACCAAAGTCACTGGGAAGGTGGCTAGAGCCAGGGATTCTCAAACCAACCCAGACCTGCTGATGTGGGAAATGAGAGCAGGGACAAGGCCAAAGGAGCCCATTAAGACCCGCTCCACTTAACCACCAGCCCCTACCTTATCTCGTCTGTGTTCCTCATAAGTGTCATCATCAGTGGGCAGCTCATGGCGACACAGGGGGCAGGAATTTGTCTGGGAAAAGTAGGGCAGTGTTCCAGCCCCAGTCTAGTATTCATAAGCTAATAACCCTGCCCCACTCCAATTCCCACCCTTCGATCCCCCAGCAGTCCACAAACGGAAGCTTGAGAACTGCGCCCAGGGAAGGGTAAAGGCTGGAAGAAGCAAAGCAGTACCTTGCTTAGCCAGGGCAGAATGCAGTTGGAATGGAAGAGGTGATGGCAAGGCATCTCAATGGCAGTCTCCTCCTCCTCAAATTCCAAAAGACACACCGGGCACTTGAGCTCTTTAGGAAGGAGTGCTGATCAGAAGAGGTGCTACAGACCCCACCTCCCAGCTCCCACTCCTGAAGAACACTCTTGCCCCAACCTGGCGTGGAAAACTGAAGGGCCAGACCATAGTCTTGATTAAGGAGGGAGTGGTTCTGGCAGACCTGCCCCAAACAGCAGAAGAAATTAGTGTCCTCACCAGCCTGAGAGCCTCTGATGACTGTCCTAGGGAGGTTCTCCACCGCAGTCTTGGCAGCAGGTGGGGGCAGGTGGTGATCCCAATCTACTACTAATCCCAAGTCTTCAAAGTCCATGCTATGGAAAAGTGACCTGGAGAGGAGGATGCAAGGTCAGAACCAAAGAAAACCATACTTTCTCTTTGTCCCCATAATCCGCTGGCATTAACAGATAAATACCCTGCCCAGCTACTACTAATAGCTACCTTCAGTGGTTAGTAGATGCTCACTAGATAAGAAAGCATAGTGGGAAATGGTTTACAGGTGCTATCAGACAACCCCAGCAGACGGTTTATTCTCATTTTACACATGAGGCAACATGCTCAGAGGAGTTACTCAGGCCACGCAGAATGATCTGGTAGAGCCAGATTCCAAGTCGGCAGTGTGGGCTCCCCTGCCTGGCGTTCCTAACAAATATACCGACTCACACGCACACAGCCCCTATCCTCCCCCATGCCCCACCTTCTCCGTGCCTCCCAGAGCCTGCGGCCCTCCCGCCCCAGCCCCCTTCCCCCCAACTCTCCAGCTCCAGTCTTTCCCACAATTCCCTCACCTGGACCCGCCCACGGACGGGCCAAATAATCGACGTGCACAATCCCCTCCCCTCAATCTAGCCGCCTGGACTAACACTCCAGATTATTCATCGGTTCTTCCCACAATCTGCCGCCCCAGCTACTCTGCCTTCTCCGGCCAGCCCCAGCCCCTGCTTCCTAGGCCCCATCCTCAAGCCCCGCGCACCCACCTTGCAAGCTCCAGCAGCATGCCCGCTCGAGTCTCTTGCTCGGGATCCAAAGGCTCGCAGTCGTGTTCATCGAAATAGGACGCCATGGCTGCGGGGTTGTCTGACACAGCGCTCGGACCAAACTCGATTGGGGCCTCGCGGCGCTGACCAATAAACTAGCGAGTTGAGAGAGGATGGCCAATCAGATTATCCGAGGGACGGGCGGGCTCCGTTAAAGGTACAGAAAGCGGAAGTACTAACTCGGCCCCCTTTCATTGGCTTGAACAAGTCAGGTGACCAAAGCCTAAAGCCAATGACAAAAGCCAACGCTAGTCGGAAAACATTTGTTTAGGAATCCAAGCCAAGAGGAAATTCCCGGGAGTTTCTTGCGTGCTGGTGTCCGTAATTCCCTAAAAAGCCAAGTATGTGGGGCTGCAAGGGTCCTCGGTCGGCCCTGAGTCCCAGAGGGCCTGGCAGTGCGAATGCTAGGGGCCTCCCAGAGAGAGGGAGGCTCTGGCCCAGGGCTCTGGGTTTCGCGAGTGTGGAGTCGGGGTGCTTCCGGCTGCTCTGCCAAGCTCCCGCCGGGCTCTTCTGCCCCGCCGCGTTCTAGTTGGCTCAGGAGTTAGCGCTTGATTCCTCCCCGACCCTCGAAAAAAAATTGCTGCGCATTTATTACGTGTTAGGCATAATAATAAGGATGGAGCAAACTTCCTCAACCAAGAGAGGGAAGGTCTCTGATAGGGAACCTGGGACCTCACTGCTCATGGGACTGTATGACCTTCAGCCCATTGCTCAACCTCATTCCTAGCTTCTGTAAAGCAAGTGGCTGGAACTAAATAAATGGTTTGCATCCCTGGCATCACGAATCCCCTGAGGAGAGAAGGGGCAGGAGGAGCTTTAGAAACAACACCCCAATGTGTGATACCCTTGAAGATTCTAGGTGGGGCCTGGGCAATGGCATTTGTATAAGTTCTGCTGGTGGCGGGGTGCGGTGGCTCACGGCTGTAATCCTAGCACTCTGGGAGGCCGAGGCGGGCGGATCGTTTGAGCTCAGGAGTTCGAGACCAGCCTGAACAAGAGCGAGACCCCATCTCTACTAAAAAAATAGAAAAAAATTCGCTGGACAACTAAAAATATATATAGAAAAAATTAGCCATGCATGGTGGCGCACGCCTGTAGTCCCAGCTACTCGGGAGGCTGAAGCAGAAGGATTGCTTGAGCCCAGGAGTTTGAGGTTGCTGTGAGCTAGGCTGACGCCGCGGCACTCTAGCCCCGGCAACAGAGTGAGACTCTGTCTCAGAAAAAAAAATAAAAGTTCTCCTGGTAATTCTAATGTGAGGTAGGTTTGAGAACCACTGCACTCAATGATTGGGATGATAGCTACTATTTAGCATCTATAAGTGTTACATTGATGGATATTTTACACATAGTATCAGTAATCCTCACAACAGTCCTGGGAACTAAGCATCATTATGTCTTTTTTACATATATAAAACCCGAGTCTCAGAAGTGGCTTGTCCAAATTCACGCAGCTTAAATGGTGTTGCAAGTACCTTACCAACCGCAGGGCCAGGTGCTTTCCTCTGTCTTTCCCAGGAGAGGAAGATGGTAATGAGCCCAGTGAAAGTAACAAGCTCTGTAAGTGGTAAAGCAACACACAACTTTAAGGGATAGTTTCTGTTTCTGTTCTTGTTTCTGTCAGTAGCCCTCACTCTACCCAGCAGGGAACTGCATTTTTTTACACACTTGACCCTGAATTCCCCTCGCTACCCACACTTGCGTTTCAGCTGTAGTTAAGGAGCCCAGACAGAGGCTGTCCTGTTTCCATGGTCTTGGTGTGGCCTTCTTTCCTTCTTCCATGCCTTTGCCCAGTGGTCTTTGCTGTGTCCCTGAAGGCACTGCCTGCCTGCCTGGCCCTGTGTGACCCTGGAGCTTTGAAAAGCCAGAATTCTTTCTTACAGGGCAAACTACAGGCCATCCTTTGCGACCCTACATTACAACACCATAGAAGCCCTTCCTGTTTTTACTGCTACTCACTTCATCTATAGTCTGGTGTAAAGCTTGAGGAAGAACATGAGTGCAGAAATTGGGCAGGGGAAAGTGTTCAGAGGGGAAATTATCTATCTAAAAGGGAGAGCCTCATAAAAATGTTTTTGAAGTGCTTTCATCTTTGTCATCCCATCTAGAGTCTCACTGGTCCTCTGAAATGTCAAGATGTCAGAAAAATAACAAATTTCATTCTCAGGGAATCAGCCTCAGGGGAGGAAGACTGGTTCAAGGGTCTGGTTTGGGGACTGTTGTATCCTTGTACCCACACTCCAGAAAGGTCTGAGTACGGTTGGATCAAGTAGGGAAGGGAGCAGAAGGGGCCACCTCCAGGGGGTGAAGTTCTTTGGGTGGTGAGCTGTCTAAGCAACCCCAGGGGTGGAGGCAGAGTGGGATTAACCAACCTAGGGACCTTCAGACACACATGCACACACTCACACACATACACACACCGGCTTTTAATCAAACAGCAGCTTTTACTGAGCTCCAGGTGGGGCTGGCCTGGCATGGCCAATACAGCAGGCTGCCCTCAAGGGCCAGTCTGTGGCATGATGGGAGATGCAGAGGTGCACACATCAGGGCTGCCTTTCAGTGCTCACTGGGGTGGCTCAGACAGGAGCAAACACCAGGGTTCTCTGGAAACCAGAATGGGCCAGTGCCGCCATTCAGCCTCTCCCCAGGCCCAGCTGTGTCAGTCCCCATGCCCTGAGGCAGTGCCTGCATCCTGGGCTTGCGGGGCACTACTGTTCTCACTGCTCTGTGGGAGAAAGATGGCCAGCAACAAAATCAGGATGAAGAGCAGGCCACCACCCACCACCAGTCCCAAGTAGATCCGGCAACGGGTGTTCTCCCAGCGCTTCTTCTGAGCCAGGGTCTTGGTTGTCTTGCTGAAGGCTGAGCTCTGTGGACACCCGCAAACACAGGGTGAGAGTTAGCTGGCTCCCCACTGGCCTCAGAGCCAGCTCCTCCCAACCCTGCCCTAGCAAAGCCTAGTCTCCTCCCGCCTCCTCCCCATCCTATCTGCTCTCTTGCTCCACACTACCTGCCCTGGGACCCTCCCAGCCTGAATCCTGGTCTCCGATACTGGTGTAGTCCTTGACTTTAAGCCCTAGCTGCTCACCCCCAGTTAATACTGCCAGTCGTCTACCTTTAGGAAGGTCCACGGCTTCAAACCAAGGACTTCTTACTCCGTGAAGCCTACCGTTGCCTATCTAGGATAGGAGTGCCTCAGGAAACCCGGAGGTCCCACACTGGCCTTCAAGAAGGTCCAGCCCCTCCAAGGACCCAGAGACCCTGAGCTCAGCCTAAGAGCTCCCTCTGAGGGCTTTGCCAAGCCTCCTTGCCCCTCTGCCCATTGCCCTCCCCCACCTACTTCCTCCCCCGGCCTCATACCATATCCAGGAGTTGGTCTGAACGCTGCTCCAGCTCCGCCAGCTTCCCATCACGCTCCAGGACCTTGTCAAAATTGTTGAGCATGATTTCCGTCACCTCATTCGCCTGCTGCTGGCACCGCTCCAACTCCTTCCCTGCCTGGGCACCAAGCCTGAGGTCAGGGCAGTGTGAGGCCCCCACCTGGCCCAGAGACCTAGAAGCCCCCTTCCCCCACTGTGTATGGGGACAGTGTGTGAGTAACAGCATCCTTCATGTAAGGCAGTGGTCCCCAACCTTTTTGTTGGCACCAGGGACCAGTTTCATGGAGGAAAATTTTTCCACCAGGGGTGGGGGGGCGGGGCACGGGGTGCAGGCAGAGTTCAGGCAGTGATGCGAGTGATGGGGAGCAGCTGTAAATACAGCTGAAGCTTCGCTCACTTGCTTTCCTGCCACTTACCTCCTGCTGTGCAGCCCAATTCCTAGTAAGCCACAGCCTGCAGCAGTCTGGTGGCCCAGGAGTTGGGAACCACAGATGGAAGGGATGGAAGGGTATGATATGTGTGGAGTGAAAGGCTGCCTCCTGGGTGAGTGCGATGCACCTTCGGGCTCACAGGTGCCTCCACTTGCCATCAAGGCAGGCGAAGGTCAGACTTGGCTTTAAGCATCTCAGCTTCCCCTAAGCTGCCCCTCGGTGGGACCCTCCCAGGACCCCACCCTCCCACAAAGCAGACAATTTGCTCACTTGCTCCAAGATAGCCTCCAACCCATGCACACCTGCCCTGAGTCTTCCTGCTGACCTAAGGTGGCAGCAAAGAACAGGGAACCAAGCTACTTGTCTAGAAGCCAGACAGAGGGGAGATCTACTCCACAGGGCTAGAAAGGCAATTTTGTGTTTGTGTTTTTGTTTTTTTAAGAGATAGTCTTGATCTGTCACCCAGGCTGGAGTGCAGTGGCATGATCATAGCTCACTGAAGCCTCAAACTCCTTGGGCTCAAGTGATCCTCCCACCTCAGCCTCTCAAGTAGCTGGGACTATAGACACACATTAATTTCTTTTTTTTTTAAATTTTTTTTCTTTTCATGTCATCCTTGCACAGGAGCCATGCTAATCTTCTCTGTATCGTTTCAATGTCAGTATATGTGCTGCTGAACCGAGCACAATTTCTTTTTTTTTTTTAATTTTTTTGTAGAAACAGGGTCTTGCTATATTGCCCGGGCTGGCCGCAAACTCCTGGCCTCAAGCTATCCTCCCACCTCCTGAGTAGCTGGGACTACAGGTGTGAGCCACCCTGCCTGGCCTACAAAGGTAATTTTGGACCAGCACATGTCATAGTTTCTGCGTAACACCCCCTTCCTAACTGAGAAGCTGGGATGGATCTCCCTCCTCAGGCTTCTGACTGGTCAGGCCAGTTCTGCCTCCTGGCCTGACCACACTCTCTGAATCAGTGCCCCAAGTTCCCTCTCTGCCTGGGAACCTCAGCCGTCCTGGCTCCTGGCCTCCCACCTCCTAGTCAGCCAGGGTCTTTACTGGAGTCCAACTCACAAAGATGAGACCAAGCCTTGGATTTCCCAGTCTGGCAGCAGGCTCAGCTAACAAACCCCAGCTCATTTCAGAGGACTGGGAAGGGAGGTGCAGGGTCAATGTCAGGGCAGGTTGAGAGGACAGGGGGGAAAAAGAAAGACTGGGTCATGAACAAGAAGGGCACTGGGCCTTGGGTACATGACAGAGAGACTCAGAGCAGGAGGCCCGGGCGTGAGCTGGAGACCCAGGGCAGGTGCAGACATTTCAGGGAGATGAATACCAGCAGATTAGTAAACCACAGCAACTCCCTCCTCTCAGCCTGCTCTCCCACAGCCCAGCCTTGTTCACATCTCCTCACAGAAGAGGCCACGCTTCCTTTCCTGCCAGCCCACATCGCCCATTGTCTGCAGCAGACATTTTGGCACTTGCCTGAATTCCACTTAAAACCAGAAAACATAAGTGTTGAAAGGGATCTGGTGGTAACAGAGGACCACCTCCTACACAGGCAAGAATCCTCCTTCAGGCCTCTTGCAGCTGCCTTGCACACGACCTCCAAGCATTCTCAGGGTATGACTCCTATCTCCCCAACCCGACCACAAGCTCCCAGAGGGAGGGTGGGAATCAGTGCCCTCCCTCCCTCCACCACTGTCCCAGGGGCCCAGGAGGCCAGCACAGTGCTGACCACTGCAAGGATTCAGTGAGTGGGCCAATCGCATTATAGCCTATCCAAAAGCAACTCTTGAGAGATGTTCTCCCAGTGTGTTTATCTAGCCCAGCAGGAGTTTCAAGGGGCAGGCATTTGAAACCCAAATAGGTCAATATTTACCCATGAGCTAGAAAAGCAATCAACTTTGAGAGAGGGCAGGAGAAGGGGCAGGCGAACCACTGTAGGGGAGGGAGCATTCCCAGGCTGGGGGAAGCAGCAGAGTAGCAGCTGGGGAACACAGCGGAATGAAGAAGAGAGCAGCGAAACTGTGAAACTGTGCTCCTTCTAATGCTTCCTGAGTCAACCATCATCACCACCATTGTTACTACTGTAGTATGCAACAAGCCTCCATTATTCGGCCCTTTGGCCTTCCCCACATTCAGTTTAAGGCAAAAACTTGAGAAAGGACAAAGATTTGAAAATGACAATCACTGCTAGAGATTGGCAAGATGCTGGATGTTATAGTTTTTTTCTTTTCCTTTTTCTTTTCTTTTCTTTTCTTTTTTTTTTTTTGAGACAGAGTCTCACTCTATTGTCCTGGGTAGAGTGCAGTGGTGTCCCCATAGCTCACTGCAACCTCACACTCCTGAGCTCAAGCGATGTTCCTGCCTCAGCCTCTGGAGTAGCTAGTACTACAGGCACTCACCACTAACCACACCTGGTTAATTTTTCTATTTTTGGTAGAGTCAGGGTCTTGCTCTTGCTCAAGCTGGTCTCAAACTCCTGACGTCAAGCAATCCTCCTGCCTCAGCCTCCCAGAGTGCTAGGATTACAGGCATGAGCCACCATGCCCAGCCTATCATTTTTTTTCTATTCTGAACTCTACAGCTGTTGTTATCTTGTTCTGCAACAAGGGGTGACATTGGGTCACATTCTCTGGAGAGCCGGCTGTGTCTCCAGCTGTAATCTGGACCAGTCTCCCCTCAACTGTGAAGCCAGGCCTGCCTGGAGCCAAGATGGGCCCAGGCCTAAAAGAACATATCCGCTCCAAGGAACACAGAGCCCTCAGACTCAAGTCTCCACCGCTCCTTGGCCCCACTCAACCAGAAGAAAAAGGACACTGACTATGCGCACAGGTCTCTGCTGGCATGACGAGAAATAAAGCACCAGGAAATGTGGAAGGAGATAAGGAACCAGAGAGCGAGGGCCATGCTGCCTTACGCCACCGTGTAACTCAGCAGAGTGCCTGGCAGACAGTGGACACATGATAAACAGTTACTGAATGAATTGTGCCTGTTTGCAAGGAGATCACTCTGCACTGGGGAATGGCCATATATGATACAGTTAGAGAAAAGAGTTACACTGTGTGACATAGATAGGTCAGTGTCATGGCCCACCACAGAGAGGGTGCCATTGGAAGGGTAAGAATGTGATTGGAAGGGTGGGGTGACCCCTTGAGGGATGGTAGGGAGCTGGGGCTTTCCAGCACTGGGAGATAGGGACACACACTGACAGTGGCCGACCAGGTAGAGGGTAAGGGAAGAGGGGCAGAGTGGGGCTGGAGAAGGCAGAGAAAGTCAAACAGAGGAGACTAGCTCTGAGGGAGTGACAAAACTTAAGAGCTAGTGCAGGTTTTCGAGCCACGGGCACAGCAGCGAAGTGCTTCAGGATAATTTCTCTATTGGTGGTAAACAGGCATGGATGAGAGTGAGAAGAGTCAGGGCAGAGAGGCCGGCCAGAAGGGCTGGAGGAGGCCATCAGCAAGGGTGTGAGGAGATGCGGAGCGGCCAAGGTCAGTGGGTAGCAGGAGCTTGGAGGGGAAGAGTGGGTGAAAGAGTCATTTCTAAGACCCGAGGCCAGGGGCCTGCAGGGCTCGAGGTTTTGAGCCAGGGTGAGAGGAAAGCAGTTATGTTATTGCCAGAGGGTAGCAGTTCCACAGGAAATGTTCTTGCAGACTGTTACCCTCTATAGAGAACACGCCCTCCACAACACTCAAATCTCCTGCCGGGTTTTTCTAGGGCCAATACCCTTGATTCCTCCTTTGAAAACATAGCTTTTGGCCAGATTACAGGCTCATGCCTGTAATCTCAGCACTTTGGGAGGCCGAGGAGAGAGGATTCCTTGAAGTCAGGGGTTTGAGACCAGCCTGAGCAAGAGCAAGACCCTGTGTCTACTAAAAATTTTAAGATTAGCCAGCATGGTGGCTCATGCATGGTGGCATATGCCTGTAGTCCCAGCTACTCAGGAGACTGAGGCAGGAGGATGGCTTGAGCCCAGGAGTTTGAGGTTACAGTGAGCTATGATCATGTCACTGCACTCCAACCTGGGCAACAGAGCAAGACTGTCTCAGAAAAAAAAGAAAGAAAGAAAGAAAACACAGCTCTCAAAAACCCCCTCATCATCCTAACTCTCCTTGTTTCCCCCTCCTCTGTCAAAGGGATGGGAGCCAGCAGTGGTGTCTCATCTCCTCCCTGGGTCAACACTCAGCTGAGCTCAGAGACAAAGAGCAGGGCTTCACATTGCATCCCTCTGTTTATTCAAATCCTGCCTCTGCTACTCCCCAGCTGAGTGACTGAGAACTGAGGATGTGACCTTTCTGACCCTCCACTTCCTCATCTATAAAGCGGTGGTGGTAATAATAATATCTACCTCATAATGTCAGCTAAGGATTATGTGGCACATTATAAATAAAAAGCTTAGCACAATGCCTGACACATACTAAATGCTCAATAAACAAGCACTGTTATTATTGATGTGGCCCAAATTTCCCTAGTTCTTTTCTTCTTTTTTTTAGCAGTCAGATCTTAAGAACTATATAATAGTTATGGCCAATAAAACCTCTTAGATAGTTTTACAAAATGCAAGCCACACAAGGTCTTCCCTTTTACAAACTTGTGCATTTAGTTTTTTCTAATCTATTTTTATTTATTTATTTATTTTTAATTTTTTTTTTTCTTTTTTAGAGACGGGGTCTCACTCTTGTTCAGACTGGTCTCGAACTTCTGACCTCAAGAGGTCCTCCAGCTTCAGCCTCCCAGAGTGCTAGGATTAGAGGCATGAGCCACCACGCCCAGCCCTAGTTGTTTCTAATCTAAATACAGAACTTTACATGGGCCTTTGATAACAAGCATCTAGTTTATTTCCACCAGGCATTGCAGGCTGTTGAGAAGGTTTTGCATCTTGAGCAATAATAACAGCCACCATCCAAGAGATACATACTCTGAGCTAAGCACTATGCTGCTAGTTGTTCATTCGCTCTAGGTCATTTAATCCTCACAACAACCCACTGAAGACAGTATTGTTATCCCAGTTTTATAGGAAACTTTGGCCCAGAGGTATTAAATCACCTGTCCAAGGTCACAGAGCCAGTGAGTTGAGCCAACATAGACTCCAGGCAACACATTCTTAGCCCCTGTGCTAAATTAGATGCAGGTAAAGGGATGTCAGATGCTATAGCTGACTGGCTAAAGACCCATCAACACTTTTGATGCCACCAACTCAACTTGTGTGCATATAAGGGGGGCCTGTGGCTCGAAACACACAGTCTTTGGAGAAAGTACCATCTACAAGATGAATGAATTCAAGTAATGATTCAGTTTCCATCTTTCCCATCACTGCTTTGTTCCTACTCTATCCCCTATACCTGTCACCACGACTGGCACAAAGGAAATGCTTAAGAAATCTTTGTTGACCGAATGAGTCACAGAGAAGGGAAGAGAAGGGAAAAGAAGGACAAGGTAGGGAAAGGGGATGGAGGAAGGGAGAGAACTGAGGACAGAGAAAGGGGCAAGAGTGAAAGAAGAGACAGAAGGATCGGTTTAGAAGAGGATGAGTGGAGGAGAGAGAGCAATATACCCTCCCAAGGCCCTCATCCACTATTTGCCTCAAATGTATCTGTGAGAGACCCAAGGTTTTCCAGTAAACTCCCCCCCCCATTTTTTTTAAATTAAATAGCAATAGGGTCTGGCTATGTCACCCAGGCTGGAGTGCAGTGGCACAATCATAGCTCACTGCAGCCTGAAATTCCTGGGCTCAAGAGATCCTCATACCCTTGGCCTCCTAAAGTGCTGGGGTTACAGGTGTAAGCCACCATGCCCAGCCAGCCCCAATAAATTATCCTGCATTCAGCCTTCATTTCAGGAATTTCCTCTTCTCTCCAAAAGCTAAGGGCAGGTGAACCCCTAACCCTGCCTGATCCCTTGCCCTGCATGCTTCGAAGTGGGTTGGGATCTGTCCTTTCTCAGAGTCTCCCTGAGTTTCCCGGCGTGGCTTCAGAGCTCAGTGCTACCTTCCTGTCCTACTTCCTCTTCCTGCCTCCAGTTCCCTGGAGAACAGGCTGTCCAGGCATCATGACCCCTAGCCAGGCCACATATCCATCACATCTCTGCCAGTTTCTCCAAAGCAGAATCTTAAAGCACCAAGCCTGTTTCCTGACCAGCCTATCTTCCCAGGAGCCCCAGGGGAGCGGGGAAACTGGCACCAGCTGTTCCTGACACCTTTGCCTTGGAGATGGCAAGTGAGGACAGAGGCCATAGTCTGCAGCAGGAGTGGGAGTGACTCAACTCAGGAATGTGTCACTAGGTAGAGGTTAGGAGGGAGTCAGCCCTGTGCCACACTGATAACTTCAGTGGAACTTTTAGAGTAAACATCTGCCTTTCTCTTTCCCCCGGGGAAGGAGTTTGCTCTCCAACACGCTGCCATGGGGCTGGAATGGCCTCTGCCACCCCATCTGCTCAGGTTTCCGACTTCTGGGCCAAGCTTAGCTGCTGGCAGCTGCGGGAAGGGCTGAAAAGGTCATCATCGCATTACCTACCACTTCTTAGTAGTGGCTTCGGAGTGCCAGGCGGATCTCTGCCATTGTATCTCCTTTAACCTCGCAATGACCCGGGGCAGGTATTGCTGACCCCACTTCACAGATGCGGAAAAGGAGGCTCAAGGAGGTTAAGAGACTTGTCCCGGGGTCAGAGAGCCGGGATCCCAGCCCGGAGTGTGACTCCAGAGCCGGTGCTCTTAACTGCTTTGCTCCAGGAGAATGGGAAGCCCGAGCCCCGCTCCCTCCGAGGGGCAGCCCGGACGGGGCGCACGCCTCACTTTCCTCCGCGCGCGGAGCGGAGGGTCCGGCCCCCGTCCCGCTCCTGGCCGCGGTCACCTCGCTGGGACCCGCGCGGGCCGGGGGGACGCCCCCGCCCTCAGACTTCGGACTCCTCTCTCCTCCCCTCGCCCTCTGCCCCTCGCCAGGCTGGCCGGCCCCGCCCGGGCCCTCACCATCGCCGCCGCCTCCTCGCCTGCTCGGGTTCCTCTGCCCCAGCAACCGCAGAGGCAGCGGCCGGGAAGGAAGCGGAGGGGCGGGGCGGGGCGGGCCGCCCAGCGGGGGCGGGGGGCGCGCCTTCCGCAAGCGGGGACCGAGACCAGGTCAAATCGAAAGCGACCGGCGACAGTGACGGGGTCCTTGGGGGCGCCTCCTCCCGGGCCGTTGACGCCTGACTTCAGATGACACCTCAGCCTCGTGAACTGGGGGCTACGCCTGAACCGCACGCCGCCAGGTCTGCACGCGGGCCACACCTGGGGGACTAATCTCTGAGATGGGCACAGCAGACGGGCCCTGCAGACCTCTCCCCGGCCGCATCGAGACGGGTAGATCGGGTTTCGCTGGGGAGGCGTCATCATTCAACAAGCATCTGTGTGAATGTCGTTGTCAGGCACAGTGCTAGGTGCTGGAGACCCATGAACGAGATGCCACGAGGTGGCAGGATCTTTGCCACCTTCTGAATGCATGTCACCCATCGCCAAAAACAGGCCCCCCAAAAGTTCTGAAACTAAAGAGAGGTGATGGTTGCACAACCTTCAGAATACACAGGTCACTGAATTGTACACTTTAAAATGGTAAACTGTATGTTCTGTGAATTTCACCTCAGTTCAAAAAGAAAGCAGACCCCATGGGTGAGATTCTAGCCCTAGCTTGTCTGTATTTCTCTCCCCCTATGAGGGCAAGTGCAGTTCTGCCCTGGTGTGAACCTGTTCCTCAGTCAGATGATGGGGAGGCTGGCGTGTCTGCCACACTTCAGAGCCTTCCTGAGCTGACTGTACCCATCTTCTCCTATCAATGCTACAGAGAAACCACCAACCACCTGTTCCCTGCCCACCCCATGCCACCCACAACATCTCAAACGAGGCCCCTCTTTATCAAGGGGGATAAGGGCTTCCCTCCCTGGGGCTGAGCCTCTGTGAACACAGAAGTCCCCAACCAAGAGGGTTTCTCGACCTTCACACCCAATCTGGACAGCCTGGGTCCCAAGGAGGAGATGTCACCTCAGTTTCTTAGACTTTGAGTGGACTGAGGAGAGAGAAGATGGACATAAATTTGGGCAAAAACTGCCCCGAGGATCTCTTTTGTGCTTTCCTTCTCCCTCCCCAAATTCCAGAGTATGATTCCAGAACCTGACTTGCCAGTCTAGTCCCAAATCCTTCTCCCAACCCTGCCCCTTCCCCACTTCCTCCCTAAAACAGGTTGTTTCCAATTCTGGAGAGTCTGGAGGACACAGGGACAGAGATGGCAAAAACCCTCCCCACAAACCAAGGCAGACTAGGCACTGGAAAGAGTGACAACGACGGTGGAACCTGGTGGGGAGGAGGGAGGCCTGAAGACAGAGAGGCTCATTGTGCATGGAGGGGAAGGAAGACCATGGCCCCGTCCTGTGACACTGACTGTGCCCAGCCATGGGATGTGGGGGAGAGATGCTCGCCCCCTCAGGACAGCTGAGACCCAGAGGCCTTACTAAGTCCCAAAGGGCAGGGGCAGAGAAAAGACAAACAGAACATGCAGAACTATGAGAAAAGGAAAAGCAGTCCAGTTCCTCCAACCCTTGGCTCTAGACTACGACAGGGCCACAGAACAGAGAGGGCCATGCCAGAAGAAGCAGGAGGCCCTTAGCCAGCTCCTAAATGCTCTGTCCAGGTCGGCATCACGTCTTAGCTAACAATTCCAGAAGAAAAGTAATAAAGGGCCGTGGCAAGACCCAAGGGGGACACTTAAAAATCTCGTATACTATCCTAAAATGCTGTGAAGGGGCTGGGCACAGTGGCTCACACCTGTAATCCCAGCACTTTGGAAGGCCAAGATGGGAGAATTACTTGAGGCTGGGAGTTCGAGATCAGCCTGGGCAACATAGTAAGATCCTGTCTCTGTAGACATTAAAAAATTAGCTAGGCATGGTAGCATGCACCTGTAGCCCCAACTACTCGGAAGGCTAAGGCAGGAGGATCACTTGAGCCCAGGGGTTCGAGGCTGCAGTGAGCTATGATCGCACCACTGCACTCCAGCCTGGGTGACACAGTGAGACCCTATTGCTTAAAAAAAAAAACAAGCTGTGAAAGTTTTGAATTTTCCATATGCCAAGACCCCCCAAAAATTATTTTTCTTGAGTCCCATGATAATGAATGGAGCAGAAATGAATAAAATCTTTCTTCTCCAAACATACACTCTCATCCTTTGACAACCTGGGCCTCAGATGGGAGAACCTCAGCCAGAGAGTCCTCGGGGAGAAAAGAAATAGAAAAGCCAAAGGCAAAATGGAAAGGGAGAAAGTACCTCTCACACATAAGGATACTGAAAGGTCTTTATTGCCCACTAGCCACCAACTGTTTCCCAGCCACATGTTGGGCCCTCTGGGTCTCTCCAACCCACTCTAAGGACCCGTGAAATGCAGCCACAGTCCAGCTCTCTCTTTCTGGGGGGACCAAGGTGCTCCCTGGGGCATACGACATGGCAGAGGGGCCTCAAGGTGAGGGGCAGTAGGACCTAGCAGCATTCCCTGTGGAGAAGGACAGGAGAGAGGGCCCTCTTGGCACCCATTATGAGGGGTTGCCCCCGAAGAAGAGGGCAGGGTGGGCGGGGCTCCCTAAGTTACTTAATGGATGACACCAGTGGCAAAGAGCACGATGAAGAGGACGATGATAAAAACAATCACGCAGATGAGGACAATCATCTTCACGTTCTTCCACCAGAACTTCCGAGCCACCTTCTGCGATGTTGTCTTGAAGTGTTCAGACTGTTGGGGATAAGGTAGAGTGAGTGACTCATTGGCTCCTCCCACTGGACTAAGAGGGCAAACAGAATCCCACATGCTATACACATGCCATACATCTAAGTGTTTACATTAGAAGCAGAGGTAACAAACTGTTAAATGAAAGATGCTCTATCCGCCTACCTTGACAAATATACCTTCCTAACAATCTGGAGGGCCAGGTTCAAATTTAGAATTCTCACGCTCCTGGTAAGTCCTGAATGTAACTAGGGGTCCCCTTTCTTTTCTTACCCCTGCACTGTCACGCACATTGAGGGGTCTTTAACACATGCTTACACCCAGAGTTGTGACACTGCAGCACAATCTGCCCTTAGGAGGGCAGACCCTGGGGCCAGGGGTGTAGGCCCCAAGGTGGGCACATCTCCCACTCCAAGATGCCTGGCTGGAGGAAGGACCAGGACAGTACTGGGGGTAGGAAGTGAGGAAACTTCTCCTCCACCCCCCACAACTCAAGTTGCAGACACTAAGTTTCCCTGGGCCGTGCTCCCCAGAGTAAGCTGCAGAAAGAGGCAGGGAGACAAAAGAGCAATTCCCAAGGTTACACGCAGGACTCAGAAAGCCAGAGCCAGTCTCTCCCCGCTGGACATGGAGGCTCCAGCCTTTGTTGAACTTTGGAGTTACTCCCTGCCTAAGCAGCTGGCCTCAGCCCCTGGCTGAAGAGAGAGAAGAATGAGGCCTAGCAAGACATGTAGGAGATATTATTCTAGCCTTCAGCTGGCAGAGGACCCCGGGATCAAAGAATTTCACTGCTCTTTCTAGCTTCTTTTTAAAGCCGACTCAGCAAGACTCTAGCGGTTTTCCACTCCCTGCCTAATTACTCCTGAAGGAGGCCAAAAGGCCCTAGGAGGATTTTCTCAGAGCCAATATTTTCACCCTGGGGAGGTCAGGTCCAAATGATTGTCAAGGGCAGGCTGAAGAGGGAAAATCAGTTTCACAGGAGAGAAGCCTAAAAATGCACAGGCTGCCTGTGCTATCTGTCCATCTCAGAAAATGCCTCTGTTGGCCACCCCCCACCCCAAGCCCCAGTCATTGGACCCATTCCCCGGACTATATACCAAACAGTGGAGAATAGCAGATTCAGAAATGGGGACTCAGCTCACATCAGCTCTCAAAACAGGTGAAAGGTGACAGAAATGGCAGACTTCCGTCCCTCCTGTTCATTTTGCCCCACCAAAAAAAATTCTCTTCCTCCCAATAATTCTCCCTCCTTCTCTTCCTCCAGCCCCCAGTGGGCTCCCCATCTTACTGTGGCTTCCAGATCCTCTGTCTTGTTGCGGAGATGGTCCAGGTTTTCTCCTCGGGCCAGGATCCGCTCCACATTCTGGGTCATGATATTCTTGACTCCCTCCACCTGGCTCTGCAGGTTCCGCACATGATCATTTCCTCCACCTCCACTGGCTTCCTCCTGAGCAGCAACACAAGGGTTAATTAGACCAAGTGGTGTAAGAAGGAAAAACTCAGCCTCAGAGGCCAGGGGAAGGTAAGACCTAAGGTGGACTTCAGCCGTTTGCAATACTTGTTTACAAAGAGGATCTTTTCATGTATGACTCCTGTGATCAAAAATATGTGCATTCTTAAGCCCCAGAGGGTGAGATCTGATGCTAAACACACCAAATTAAGCTTCTTTTCAGATTCTAAGGGCCCCTGACAAGGAAAAGCAGCACCCCACCAAATCTCACTCCACGGCTTCCTTGTTCCTCAGAGAGCATCACAGAAGACAGCAGAGCCAGCATCCCACCACATTCCCCTCCAGTGCAGAACCCACCACTATTTACCAATGCCTGGAGCCAGACCCCTTCTCTGATCCCACTGGGTCCTCATTAAAAGCACCTGTACTGGCCAGCAGGACACCCCCACCTAGCCCAGGCTTCTCTGTCTCCAAGACACCTGCTGGAGAGCTGTGCTGGCTGCTGGGCCTCCTGGGCAACCTAACTGCAGTTCCGTTGCTGTGACCAGAGAAACAGGCATCCAAGTCCCCAACGAGGCGCCCTGAACCGTTGAGCCACACACTTCTGCTTTTCCTACCACTTGGCACCATGTGCAGGCACCAAGCCACTGCCTGCTGATGCAGATATTCAATAAAAACACCCGCCTGGGTATTGGGGGGAAATGGAAGACACGTCCTCCTGGCTAATGCCTCATCTCAGAGCCTTCATGATTAGGTTTTGAACAAGGAGGGAAAAACATTATTAAGCTCCTCCCTCCCTAACCCACTGGGGCTCCAG